ATCGCATACACATGCAGTATAGATATTCGAGAAACGCCTCACCGGGCCGCAGCTTGAGAAACTACGAATCAGCGTGCCGGCCAGAACCCCCGTCGCATGCTATAGGCTAGAATTACTCTAGAAGGACCATAGCTTTATAAATAGGCTAAGCTAAAAGATCCGCTGTCTCTGTGCTGTCCTGAATAAGCCCTTGCCACCGGAACCGGCCGCTTGCCTTCTTTCTGTCTACTCTTCGGGACATAACACTTAAAAAGCTGTCTCCTATCGTGATTGAAATATGTTGGCACTATGCTGCATGACAATCACAATCCCATATAGGTACAGTGGAGCCTTGGATGAAGAGCAGGCCCATATACAAGCATTTCAGGTAACTAGTGAGCCACTGGCAGAAAATGTGTTTCGCTTGACGAGCTTTCGCTCAGTTAACGAGCTGTCAGCGTGTGTGTATGTGCGTCTGTCCGAGGCTGAGTCTTGCTCCCCGGAATTTGAGTCCTCGGTCACCTGCAGCCAATCAGTGAACGGATGCAGTTTGCTTGACTACATTTCGCAAGACAAGCTCGGTCCCTGTTTGATTAAACCCGTTAACTGAAGTTCCACTGCACTTCCTTCTAATCGAAAACACACTTCAGAATTTCGGTTGATATTTCATAAGATAAACGAAGCTCTTCAGACGTAGACACACACACACGCACACTCTATCCCATCCCCACGGGTCCAGTGTCACCATAGGGCCAGGACGACCAGAGGCGGGCTTTGGTACGATAGCTGACAAAATGAAATAGATGACCTGGCTTTTCTCGTATATGTCAAGTTTCCCTCAGGGCGGCTCGAATCTCACCTGTGTGAGCGTACCGAACCAGCTACATTGAGAAATAACTATTGTTGCCTAACTGTCAGTCAGTCAGGAAGAGAACCGACGTATCCCGTCATTTGTTAACCCTCCAATCATGGCCTGCGGCCTATCGTGATAAATTTAAGCACCTCACATTAATTATACTAATGAAAAATCTGCTAGTACCGGTGCACTCTTTGTGTCTGTCATACGTCTGGTGCTGCTATCGGGCACAGAGACTGGTGCGGCGTGAATTCTGCACCGGTTATGTCGCCACATTCCTCATTCTACGCCAGTACTCATCGTGTGGCAGCCAAGCTCTTTACGCTGATGTTTTTCAACGCGCTCTTCAAGTGCCAAAACGTCCGAAAAGTGGCAGCTTGCGGGGCTATTAACTCACAACAAAGCTGGAGCCTCCTCCGGATTTAAGGCAAGATTGTTTTGACACTTCACTGTGATCACCGTGCGGGGTAACTGAGTTGGTGATTGCGGCTCACGGGTCTTAGTCTGCTTACACGGCAGCCTTATACCAGGTCCTCTGCCGGGTCAATGCTGGTTTCCAGTGGTCTTCATATTGTCTTTAATAAAATAGTTGCAATTGGAGGTCTTTAACTTTCTATACATTTTGTTTTCATGACAACATTTAAACCTTGAAATAAGAAGCTCCTTTTTAACCTTCCAGATCACAGACCGAAATTCACCACCCAGCCGAGTCGAAAGTGACCAAATTTATGGAGACACCACCACCAACTGAGCTGTGTTTTGATTCCAATCAAAACGCACCGGATGGTCTACGACACGCCAATAACTCTATGCCTGCCAATCTTCACCTCGAGGCGTGGTCGGCGTGCCCTGAATACGCTCTCACCGACTCAATCACCAATGGTTGGGGTCCTGTCTGCACCGAGGGTGACGCACAGGTCTATGCGCCGGCAAACCCTACCTTGTCCTCTGATCGTTCGCCTCCGGGCGTCATTCATAATTCAGATAACGCCTTTCTGGCTGTTAGTTCACAATGCAGCGCTTTTCCTGTCTCTCAGACGCCTGTATCACAGGTACGTTTAGTCTGTCAGAAATTCCTATCGACGTAGTCATTGCTGTTTAGCCGTACCGGGTCTGCTGGCCTGTCGTTGTCTGTTTAACACAGCATTGTCTATCTACTTATTTGTAATAAGTAGTTGTAATTGTCTCAGCTCGAGGGCTAATACTTCTGACGATTTCTTGTTTCAGGTCTCGTGTACTGCTACGCAAAGCCACTTCGACTCTCTCTCCTTTGAAGAGCAGTCGGCCATGTGCGCTGATCTACTTGCAAACTATGACCCCTCATCCCCCTTTATGCAAATGGATGAAGATTCAGGGCTACCTGACAATGTGAGCCCTAATTTCCTTCTGGAATTTTTCCCTGGCGGCCTTGCACCTTCTTCCACCGGCGGTAGCTACGGCGGCGACGGCCCCGATCGGAGTTCGGAGACTTTAAATGTTTCTTCTCAGGATAGCAGCGGCAACAACCGTCAAAACCACCAATACCAGGATGTATTCGAGGCTAAAACCGCCAACTTTACAGCTCCCTGTCAGAACTACGCTCTGTTCAGGCAACTAGATAATAATACTTGCAAAGTTGCCCCTGAATTCTGCACCATGGACTCCTTTATGGACCTCTCGTGATCCCAGGCTGCACACAGCGACCTCAACACCGAGTTTCTAACCTAAGTCTGCTAAAGGTTGTCCACCTTCTTTTCTCATTGGGCCACCGTGGAATCGTTTGGCT